GTGAGCAGCAGGAAATATTAGATAGAAGGATTTATTGTGAAGAATCCTGCGGAGATAAACAGAAAATAAAGGATAGCCTCAAGAGGGCCTGGAACCTTTTCCAATGGGCCCCAACTATCTCTGCCCCAGGGTTTTTATAGAGATGCCAAGGGGTGGAGCAAATGACCTCCTCCCCCAGCACAGCCAAGTGCAGACCATCTCAGACACCTGCACTCAGGCCCATGGTCCTATGTGGACCTGCTGGGTAAAGCCATGAGGAACCTGAAAACGGGCTCCCACAGGTCCCCCTTTCTTAATATATATAAAAACTAATTATTAATGGCTTACAGCAATCTCCATAGCTGTTACACCTCCCAGTATGGGAGGAGAGGATAATAAAGATGGCATTTCTCTTTTGAATTAGGTCCAAGGTGACTACAGCAGTCTTAGCTGCCTCAAGCCCTTTCTAAACCAAAAACTCTTGAGGCAACTACAAACTTAAAGAATCCCTTAGCTTCATCATTATCATTAACAGGTTAACATAAATTGCTATACATAGTCATAATTCTCCCAATCTTATAACACAAAGCAAACTCTTAACAGACCATTTGAATTAGCATATATGGTGCTATATATAGTTAACAATTTTCTCCATCTTACAACTTTAACTCTTAATCATTTGAATTTTCTTGCTAACAGAACATAGGAAAAACTTTGATGTATTCACATCAAACTTAAATATTTCCTTAACTCCACAAAACCAGGGTGCATTAATATCAATAGGTTTCTGCAAACATAATTCAATCTCATAACTCCTCCTTTTCTTTATAATTTTTTAAACAAAATCTCAAACCTAGTTAGAGGAACCCAAACTTATACAAATCCTACAAACCCATATTGAAAAGCAATATTTTCAATCTAACCATCAACACTTTGAAAACTTTTAAGCAAAACATCCAAAAGCAGTTTCTTAATAAAACTCTTTACACTTTAAAAGTAGTCTCTTAGTATACCCCATTTGCATTGGTTACTAACAAAACATGACATTAATCAACTCAAACAACCATTTTTTAAATTAAGTAGACTAAGGAATATTAACTCTCCCTTTTCTTTATAATTTTTTAAACAAATCTCAAGCCTAGTTAGAAAACCCAAACTTGCCGGGCGGTGGTGGCGCACGCCTTTAATCCCAGCACTCGGGAGGCAGAGCCAGGCGGATCTCTGTGAGTTCGAGGCCAGCCTGGGCTACCAAGTGAGTTCCAGGAAAGGTGCAAAGCTACACAGAGAAACCCTGTCTCGAAAAACCAAAAAAAAAGAAAGAAAAAGAAAAAGAAAGAAAGAAAAGAAAAGAAAACCCAAACTTTTCCGTTTAAACAGTTCCATTTGTAACACAAAACCAGTTCCATAAGTAATTCCATTTTTACATAAACAGTTCCACAAAACAAGTCATGAATCACCCGTTAATAAAGCAAAACTGCATCTTGATTCTAGGTAGAAATAAATTTCTTCATTTAAACAGTTCCATTTTTAACCCAATACCAGCAAACAGTTCCTAGGTTGTTGCTATAAGTAAACTCAAAATTATCTCATCGCAATGAAATCTATTGTTCATTTCTTTTAGTCCCAAAATTCAAATGATAAATTCTGGCACTAGCCTTCCAAATACAAAGAAATCCATAACCAAAATCTTTGTAGTTTTGTCTCATTTTAAGTTCAAAAAGTTCAAACAAATAAATTCTGGTATCAGGCTTTCACTTCCAAATATGAAGAGACGTTTTTTCAACCAAAACTTTTTGCAGTTAACAATTTTTGTTCAAACAAGTGTCTCTGAACTTTTATTCTCAAGCCAGAGACCTTTTTAGGTACAGTAGTATTCTAAACCGCACCATTTTTGATGTTAGCTCAGGTTTTTCTGTGTTGCATCGATTTTCCACGGATCTCAGCTGCAGATGCCTTGTTGTGCTGGTTCTGGCATCCACCATTCTTAGCTTCTTATTGGCTTCTGGAGCTTTTGAAACCATTCAGACTGCCTGCTTTGCAGTCTACTAGGACACTATCTTCTGTGTCTCAGGTTCTTTCACCATATACATTAAGAATGGAGTCACACTTAACACTTACACTTTTTTTTTTTTACAAATTCACATATAACATTAACATCTACTTATTTATACTCTTTAAGGGAACTATAGAACTACTTTAGCAAATATATTTCTTATTACTTCTTATATACTTATATTCATTCCATCTTATTTCTTATTTAAATTACATTTACAACTAACATCTATACTTCTTACAGGCTTATTACTACATGTCTTAAGACTACATTAGATACTTCTTGCAAGCTTATATTCTTAAAGGAACTCTATAGATCTATTTTTAGCATATATTTAACTTAGCCCCCAAAGTTAGAAAAATGAAGTTTTTCTGTCTAGTTGCCTTATTTTTTTCTACACAATCTTACATTTCTAAGTTTTTCCTACACTATATTACTACCCTATACCTTATACTTATTTTTCACAGAAATTGAGAAAGGGATAGAAGATAGAAAATTTTGACAAAAGAGAATTGCGCTGCAGCATCGGACATCCTTCCAGTCCACTTTCCTTTTCTCTCAAGGATAAAACCCCTGCCCCACAATAATATATATAAAATATATATTTTTTCCATAACACCGAATGCCTTTCCACTGGCACGGATGACTCAGCACTTTCGCCAAAAACTCTAATAAAACTATTATTTTCCTTTATCTTTAGTCCCTATTTCTTTGCCTTTAGTCCCTGTTCATTTGTCTTAGTCCCCCCCCCCCTTTTTAGTCCCTTTTTCTTTTTTCTTTAGTCCCTGTTCAGGCGCCATTCTGTGGGGTGTTTACCTACCAACCCCACAGCTCCCCAGAGTTTTCTTGAGTATGAGCAGCAGGAAATATTAGATAGAAGGATTTATTGTGGAGAATCTTGCAGAGATAAACAGATAGAAAATAAAGGATAGCCTCGAGAGGGCCTGGAACCTTTTCCAACGGCCCAGACTATCTCTGTCTCAGGGTTTTTATAGAGACGCCAAGGGGTGGAGCAAATGGCCTCCTCCCCCAGCACAGCCAAGTGCAGGCCATCTCAGACACCTGCACTCAGGCCCGTGGTCCTAATCATCTTCTATGTGGACCTGCTGGGTAAAGTCACGAGGAACCCGAGAACGGGCTCCCACAATCCAGTAACTGATGGAAACAAATGCAGAGACCACAATCAAGCATTGGGCTGAGCTCAGAGAAATCTGCTGAAGAGAGGGAGGAAGGATTATATGAGCGGGGCGAGGGGGAGTCAAAGACATTACAAGAAACCCCACAGAAACAACTAATCTGAGCTCAAAGAATCTGAACTGACAACCAGGGAGCCTGTATGGGACCGACCTAGGCCCTGTACATATATGTGACAGTGGTGTAGCTTGGTCTACTTGTGGGACTCTTAACAGTGGGAGCAGGGACTGTCCCTAATGGTTGGCTGGCTTTTGGGAACCTATTCCTTATACTGGATTGCCTTGCCCAGCTTTAACACAAGGGAAGGAGCTTACTGCAGCTTGATACACCATGCTTTGTTGATACCCATGGGAGGCCTGCCCCTTTCTGAGAAGAAACAGAGGAGGAGTGGATGGGCGGGCGGGAGAGGGGATTGGGAGGAGAAGAGGAAGGAGAAATCATAGTCGGGATGTAAAATAAATAAATTTAATTAAAAAAAACAAACAGGCTAGTCAAAACAAGTACATGAAGCATGGCTTCTCTTGAGTCACATTCTTGGTACCATTGAAAAGCTAAAACCAAACAAAACCTAGATAAAAGCCATTTCAATTTACAACCAATTATTTCAGATATTATTCTCTATTAAGATACAGAGAGCTCATAAGTTTTTGTGGCTAGTATGAATACAATACACTTAATTAGCTAACTATCCAGGGACTTTAAGGTTGATTCTACTATTTTGCTATTCCATATAATAGAAGGCATGGTCTGCACATAGGACTGGTTCAGTAGTCCCAGCCAACAAGTGGAATTACAAAACAAGAACTATGCAAAATACAAAGAGAAGTGAAAGAAACATGTCCTTGAAATGAGATGAGTACAAGACCCTTTGACGTTGGTTCCCACTAATGCCATTTATTGGCTTCATGACCTTTCACAGGCAATATCCCTTTTATAAGCCCCCGTTTCCTTTTAAAAATAAAAAATGGTTGACTTGAAGATGAAAGAGATATTTAGAGTAATGCAACTAATTTAGATTATCAAGGAGAAAATGTAGCTAGAGAAAGGAAAGAATCCACGACGCCCAAAACTTAACTGGAACTTTTGAACATTAAGAAACAGTTGGGAGAAACAGATAGCTAGGGATCTAGGAATCGACTGTGTCTGAAGAAGGGGTGGTAGGGAGGAAATAGGAAGGGGGATTGGTTACAAGGAAAGGGGAGGATGAATCTGACGTTTTGAAAGTCAAAAGAAGACTTAAGAGAGCTTAGCTGAACGGTGAAGGGCCATTATCCTGAGATACAGAGCTGTTAAGAGACCTAACAAGGACCATTTCAATAAATCAACGCCAATAAAATTCAAATGAAAGCCAGCTAAAGAGAAAATGAACAAAATCATTTGCGCCTTCATTATATACCATATGTGTTTATTCCAAACCAAGAGCTTAACTGCCCCAAGTCCCTTTCGGATCGTCTACCACGACTCCCGGCTGTATGGCTGTTCGGTTATGAAAACGCTTTCAAACAGATCTCATTAAACTGGCTGCTCCCAATAAACATTCGTCGGGTGTATTTCATGCACCCAGCTCGCCCAACCCTCTCGCTCCAATTCCATAAGACGGGAAGTTCATTTTCAGAATTCCAACCGGGACATTGGGAGGGCGGGGCTGGGGGCGGGGCGACGACGTGGGCCCCGCCCAGAGGCTTCCGGTGCATGCGCACGTCCTCCGCGGCCCATTTGTGCAGCCTTCCGAGTGTTCCTGTGGGTGATTATTTCGGTGACGGACTGACTACGGGTGCCCGGGCCGGCTCTTGCGGAAGTCCATGCGCCGTTGGGAGGGACTCGGCGGCTGCTCTATGCCCTTGTTGCCGAGGGCCTTTTCCCGGGTCACTGCGGGAGCAGGAGTCGGACTGAGGCCGACACGGGGCTCCCACGTGGCCGTCTAGGCGCCGGTGTGTGGTCTGCGCTGGCGGGATGTGGCGAGCACGCCGGGCGGCCGTGGCCTGGTAAGTGCGGCCTGCGACCTGGCCCCGTTATGTCATGTTCTGGGCCATTTGGACAGCGAGCGGGGTTGTCCCATCATTACTTCCTGAATGTGCAGGTGACCCTCAGAACAGGCCGAGGCTCTTAACAGAGAAATCTCACGAAATTTTGAGCACCCGAAGTGGCAGGTGCTGGCGGGTGACCACTCCTTATTCAACTCGAAGATGTTGGACGCCTTCAGCCTTGGCCCATCACCTGTGTCCCTTTTGCCCCTGCCCTTGTGATCTCGCTGTTATCTCTGTCTCTGGTTGCTGCTGTTATTGTTGCTATTCTCTCTTCGCCTGGCTCAGTCCTTGCGTCTCTTATCTGTGTACTTCATTTAACTGTCTTCTCCCAGCCGTACGCCATGCATTCTTTGCACTTACAGCTGATTGGGCTCTTGGTGTAAAGGCAGAAAGGAAGGACTCGGCCTTTCTGCCTGACCCTCTGGCTGGAGTCAGGTCTAGAGCAGTGAGTGACGCACATGAAGAGATGTCCTCCTCAGAGAAGATCTAGTTGAGTGCTGAGGTACACTTCCAGATACAACGTGCTGCGTGCTACGTGTGGCGCCACTTTTCCAATCACACTGCTGTAGTCGCCCTAGTCTGGTTTTGAAGTAGAAAAATCATAAAATGTTTTGATTTATGTGAATTGTTTGCTGTATGCACTTTAATTGTATTAAATTTAATGTTATATATGTAATGTGTTCCAATAATATATTTGTTCCAAGCTTAACACATTTGTTTCAGACATTGGATTATTAGGAAGTTATATGTACCAAGGAATTGAGAAAATGTAGCTCTCCTGAATTAACTTCAGCTTTAGACATGAATCTCAAATTTATTTAGAATTTTTAAAGGATTTTGTTTTAGTTGTGTGTATGGGAGAGGGCGGTATGTGCACAAGTGTACAGGTGCCCCGCCTGGGTAGAGGGGTGAGATCCCCTTGGAAATGGAGAACAAGCGGTTGAGCAGCCTGAAGTGGATACTAGGGACCGAACTAAGGTCCTCTGCAGATACTACAAGCATTTCTAACCCTTCCATCCATCTCTGCAGCTCCCTGGATTTTTTTTTTTTAATGGGTATATCTGTTTTGCCAGCATGTCTGTCTGTCTGTGTACCACCTGTGTCTACTGCCCAAGCGACCAGATCACAGCATTCAGTCCCCAGGGACTGCAGTAACAGACAGTTGTGAGTCGTCATGTGGCTGCTGGGAATCCAACCCCAGTCTTCTGGAAAAGCAGCCCTTTTTCTTAAGCAATAAACCATCTCCCCAGCCCTCCCTCAGGAACTAACTTGATTGATTGATTGATTGGGGTTTTTTTGTTTGTTTGGGGGTTTGTTGTTGTTTTGGGGTTTGTTGTTTTTTTGGGTTTTTTTTTGTTTTTGTTTTTGGTTTTTTGCTTTTTGTTTTTGGTTTGGTTTGGTTTGGTTTTTCAAGACAGGATTTCTCTGTGTAGCTTTGGAGCCTGTTCTGGAACTTGATCTGTAACCAGGCAGAGATCCCCTGCCTCTGCCTCACAAGTGCTGGGATTAAAGGCATGTGCCACCACCGCCCAGCTAGGAACTTTTTTTAGTGGTGTAAATGATTTATTACACTTAAAAGGAATGGAACCCATTTGTTTTGTCAGGGTTAATTATGAGTCCAAAAGTGGAACTGCCTCTGCTACAATGTGGTTATTTTTAATATGGGATTTTAATTTCAATTCACAACCTTTGGTATTGAAATGAGCTATTTACAACTTTTCTACTATTTTATAACTAATGTGGAGACATCTAATTTTCTGTAAAACAGAAGAAACTGCAGAAGATAGCATATTCTTCTTAAACACCAAAGTATGTAGGAAACACTTTGAGTTGAGTATACAGATAAACAGATGTATAGTTTGCATTGTTTGTTTAATCGGTTGTTTACCATTATGGTGAATTGTTTCTGAAACTATGGGTTCCACAGTCATGGCTTTAGCATGTCTCATGCCAAAGCACAGCTTAGCTAATGGTAAATTGGGTATATGGAAAGCTGGAAAGCCCCAGGCTCTGGAATTTGCCTTTTGCTGTAGTTCCTATGCAAGTCCTGAAATATTGCAGCTAGTCCTACTCTAGTCATAAGATGGAAACAGACTTTCTATACACACACAAAAATATTCCTTCTGGACAAGTCAGTGGAAGACTGATGACCAACATTTGGGGGGTGCAATAAGTGTGTAAAAATAATGAAAAAAATTTCATACTAGACAGTTCTATATAGGTAAAAGATGTGGTAGTGGAGCAAGAAATGACTTGTGGTGATCTGCTTTGCATCACATTTGAATTTTGTTTTCATGCTTCTTTAGAGACAGAAGTCTTTTTCTCTTCATTGCCTCTGTTAGGATCTTTCTTGACTTTGTCCTTTGTCTTAGATTTCTTAAGGCTTTGTTCAACTGTGGGTTTTCTTGTTCGTCACTTGTATGGCTTGACCTTTGATTTTTTTTTTTAAATCTCTTTCTTCAGTTTTGCAAAATTTTTGTTCAACTTTATTTTCTTCCTTCCATTGCATCTGTTCTTTTTCTTTCAAAATACTTTTGAAAGAATATGAGATTGCTTAGGTAGGTTCAGTATTTCTTCATTTCCAAAATAAAGACATGGACTCCCTTTTTTCTCCATATATATTAAAAGATATGAGGTTATCTTGGAAGACATAAAATATACCTCTCTCTGCAAGATTAGTTGATGTTTTCTCCAAGCTACACAATTATTTTAACCACTGTAAAAGAGAGAGTGTTTGTAATGTACTAAGCTGTAAGCCAAGTCACAAAACTACATGTTGTAAAGTCCTTTTTATATTACAGTCTGTTTCTGAGTATGCCCAATAAAAAAGGAACTCCACTGAAAAACAGGAAGCCTCCCAAGCCTGCACAGGCACCCAGAGGTGCATAGGCATATTCATATCCAGTACTTGATTCCCTGATCCCAGTGGACCATTGCAGTGTACCCCATGGGCTGCATTATACCTCCCATCCCCCCACTTTGATACCACTTCTTTGCATCATAGCTTTTGTTTTCCGCATTTTTCTTTATTCTGCATCCTAGCCAGTGTCCTCAATTTATCTTCTGCTATTGATGTATATAAATGCAGCTTTGCTTTTTTTAAGTATTCACTAAGCTCTTTTTTTAATGTTTAAATCTATAAACATTGTATTCTCTAATATCTTTGAACATACTCTTACTGAAGTTGCAGTATTTTCAGGAATCCTGTCAATACAAGTGGTAGCATGCAAAGAGCCACTGGTTTGCAGTAAGGGTCTGGTTGTCTGGGGACTTTTAAATATGAAGGGCCAATGACTGATGCAAATGCTTTGTCCATGCTGCTCCTTAATGAGAGGGACGGATGACTAGGCAGGCTTAGTGTTTTCTGATTATTTCACCTACAACTTTCCTCTTCCGGCTTTTATGGAGTGGACAGGTGATTTGAGCCTGTTACAAATGCCAGTATTGATGACAGCTCACTCTGGGGAGCCTCCTCCACATATACACATGCACTTAGGATCCCCAGGTCTTCCCTGACAGCTTGCTCAGCTTCCAGAGGCGATTGCTCTCCTCCTCTTACTCTTTTACCTATATATCACGAATACCTCGATGTGGGGCTAGAAAGATGGCTGCTCATCCAGGGGATCTGGGTTCGATTTCCATCACCCACCTGACAGCCCACAACCATCTGTAACTCCAGTTCCAGGAAATCCAATGCCTCATCTGGCTTCTGCTGATACTATGCACACATGTGGTATCCAGACATACATGCAGGCAAAATACCAGTACATATAAAATAAGTAATAATAAGACTTTTTTTGGGTTTTCAAGACAGGGTTTCTCTGTGTAGCTTTGCGCCTTTCCTGGAACTCACTTGGTAGCCCAGGCTGGCCTTGAACTCACAGAGATCCGCCTGCCTCTGCCTCCCAAGTGCTGGGATTAAAGGCATGCGCCACCACTGCCCAGCTAAGATTTTTAACACTTAAAAAAAAATAGAATACCTGATGAAGACTAGCCTTCCCCTGGGTGAGCTTTTGTCTGTCTTTGAACTGGAAGCTCTGAACAATGCCTGTCTTAAGTACAGGGATTTGCCTTGAGTCCGTTATGCCTCCAGAGGGCAATTGAGTACTGTATGTCTAACTACTGACCTGGAACATCTGTCCCTGTGTCTTATGCTTATTGCTGCCACCATTGCGAAAATAGGAATATTTGAGGATTTGGAGAGAAATGAGGGAGAAAATAAAGATATAAATGCCCTAGGGCAGCACTTGGTCTTAGAGTTTATCTAGGTGGGGTTATATTCGGGTTAGCACCGTTCTAAAAAGTAGAAATAATCTCTTGAAGGTTAAAAGGCTATTCACTCATTCATACAAAAGTTAAATACAAATTAATACTAAAGTGTCATTAAGCACTTACTCTGGGCTAGCCTTTGCTATGTTCTTTGCAGGCCTCAAGGTGAGAGGGAGGGTAACACAGTCAAAACACTGGATCACAGCAAGGCTGTGTCCTGAGGAATCCAGAGGAGGTGTTAGGCCTCCAGAGTGTCCCGCAGCCCCATTTCCAGTGTTGCAGCTGTTTACATGTGTGCTGCTCTCCTCACTTGTCCAGCGTCATCTCTTGTGGAAAGAGCTCAGGCTTTATTACAGGACTGAACCTAGTTTCAGCCTCTTTCACTCTTAGACAAGACATCGTTTTTTTAAACAGTTTATAAAAGGAGCTATCCATTCTTTCAAGTTTTCCCATGTGGGAGCCCACAAAGGTTTCCTAATGAGATCTGAGCTTGCTTTACACAGCAGGGCTGCATTAGGGGATGGCTGGACCACGTGCAAGGTCACCAGGTGTTTGGGATGGTCTACACTTGGCTGTGCTGGAGGAGGTCTTTTGCTCTACCCGTTGGCATTCCTTTAAAAAGCCCTATAGTGGAGACAGAGGGGGCTGATGGGTTTGGACCCAGGCCCTCCTGAAGAGGCTATTCTTTTTCTTTCTTTCTTTCTTTCTTTCTTTCTTTCTTTCTTTCTTTCTTTCTTTCTTTCTTTCTTTCTTTCTTTCTTTCTTTCTT